ATATAAAGGCATAAGAGCAGATGTGTTTGTAAAACCATACATTGACTTTTAGATATGTTTACTCTTTACTTTCAATAGCAAATTTTGTTTAGACAATGAAACTTTTTTTGGTTGTTTTTTTTTCATTCAGAAAAATCACATTTCTTCCTCAATGATGTATTTATTGATTATTCTGTTAATAGGATTGTTATTATTATTACATTTTGGTTGAGGGGAGGGTGCACAAAGGTTTGTTTTTTGAATTTAAGAACTCTGAGGGCACCAGTATTCTAAGAATTATTTTATGTCCCTAAATATAATTACATCACCAAAAATATTCTTGGCCAGGGTGTCATTCTCAAGGTCTGAGACTACAAAGAGATACAGCTTGTAGCAAGTCATACCTGACTGCTGTTCACATCCCCTCCTTTTTATTTCTAGAGTACCTGTTCAAATAGTTTAAGTATACTAGGTGCTCCAAAAATATTTTTCAATACTAGCAATGTTGGTTGTTATTGTTCAGGACAAAACAGTTTTTACTGCTTACATTTAGCATTAAATACTCAAAAGATCTCAACGATGTGCATATTCCCTCAAGTGGTAGAGATTGTAATCTATCCCTCCCTGCCCATTCTGCATTTTTCTTGTCAAAGTCTATAAGCTTGCCACAAGAGGTATGTCTGGCATAGTATGGGATTTACTTTCTTTTGACATTGCAAGACCACTAGTAGCCCATGTGGGCTATTCTTCGGTCATTCTTGCTTCTTGCCACATGAGTAATTTATCTTCTTCTCTGCTCATACCTTTCTCTGATACGATGATGTCTTTTATTTTGCTTCTCCCTTGTAATTCTTCATAATCCATCATACTTTTCTCTCATGAATTATGTACCTGTTTATTGCATATGGTGGACATGAGTAGGCTGTGGCATATAGTCTCTTCATTACTCTTTGGGTGATCTTCAATTTAAAATCTCTGGAGACTGTAGTATTCCATTACTTGCAGTCATATGACAATTCTATGCAAATGTTGGTATTAAGAATGATGGGTCTTTGTTTCAAGGAGAAACAAGGAGCTAGTAAAAGAACTTTGACATTTCCCAAGACAAAAGAGCCCCTGTCCCTTCATCTAATTCCGGGCTCAACTAATTGTTCATGTGCAATATTTATGTAAATATTTTATATACATATGCACATACACATACATGTATATACTTCCACAGAGATAAAGAATACATGGATGGAGATATAGATACTAATGGGCGTATATGAGTATTTAATAAATAATGTCACAAGGCAGTTGATTTTAAATGTGTGTTATAAGTAAGTGTTACAGGAAGTTAGAAGAGAGTGTAATCACTGAAGCCTGGGATGATTTAGCAAGATTTCATGGTGAAGGTGGAACATGAGCTGCTTCATGAAGTAGGCATAGGTTTAGAGCAAGGAATAAAGGAAAAAATTGCAAAGGAAGAGATGGTAATGTAGGTAGCATGTCCTGGGAATGATGACTGGGAAAACATGGCTGAAGTTGAGGATTCCTATAGAAGGATATTGAATTACTTTAACTGTGAAAAAGTCTTGGTCCAAATCTGAATCGTTCCAACTTGGATATTTATATGTAATAGAGACTACAAAACTTTCTCTCTCCATCATCAATTAATGCAGAGGGAGTATATGGTACTCCTTCCTACCATAGTTGTTTTGTGGAGCCACCTTAATTAATTTGAACAACTCCCTCTCACCTTCCCAATGGTAAAGTATAGGGGGCTGAGCAAAATTGGGGAAGAGATTGGGGTACTCATCTGAGCCTCTAGACTTATGCTATGTGCTGAAATGGGTAAAAAATGCTACACCTGGGCACTGGGAAAAGAGGACATTAGACTATGAAAATAACCCTGAACCAACATTGAGAAATAGAAAAGTTGTTTGTAGGATGCAGGAGGAGGTATGTTCTTGACTTCTGGGAGAATTCTTATATGAAATAGTGCAAAATAGAAACAACTAGAGCTCTGTTAATTCAGTCAGTCAAGCAATCGACAAGCATTTGTTGTACTAGGTGCTGGGGATACAATTCAGAGAGCAATGAAATCCCTATTTGCAAGGAGTTTATATTCTAATGGGAGAGACATGAACATATACATACACATGTATGTATGCATGCATGTGCACACATATATGCATGTACATGTATGCATGTGTGTGTAAGTATACATATATGTAGGTATATATGTGCATATGTATGTATGTATATGTGTGTGTATATGTNTGCACACATATATGCATGTACATGTATGCATATGTGTGAGTATACATATATGTAGGTATATATGTGCATATGTATGTATGTATATGTGTGTGTATATGTATACATATGTAACAAGTATTCTGGGCTCATTATCCCAGAGGTAAGCCAGATTATCTCCTTATCAAAGTTCTGGTGGTACCCCTAAGGGGTTGAGGTGTCTTTTCTCTATTGCTATAATCCATACGGATATTGTGTCATCAGAGTGGAGAGGAGACTACCAAGTTAGTCCATAAATATATGTATTTTGGACAGAGCGCTAAGCCTGGAATCAGGAAGACTTGAGTTCAAATTTGGTCTCCAAAATGTACTAGCTATATGACCCTAGGCAAGTCACTTAATCTGTATTTTCTTCAGTTTCCTCAACTATAAAATTGGGATAGTAATAGTGACTACTTACCAGGATTGTTGTGAGGATCAAATGAGATAATATTTGCAAAGCACTTAGCACAGTGCCTGGCACATAGCAAATATGATATAAATATTTGTTGTTGTTGTTATTGTTAAATACAACAGATTGATGATGTTCTGATTCGGGAGTGTGTCTGGCCATTCTCCTGGCAGTTTAGATTCAGTGATGAAGCAAAATTAACAGAAATATTTACTTAGTCAAAGCAAGGAAAGAATATTCAACAAAGATAGGCACTGAGGACATCTCAAGTTGGTTCATCTGATTGAAGCTCCTTTGACTAAGTTGCCATGAGGATCTACCAGCCAAGCATCAGAGTAGAAATGGAACTCCTTGTGGCATTTTTGTACTCTGGTGATAAGGAGATGATGTCACTAACCTGAATCCTTTTCCCTCTGAGCCCACCGAGTCTCAAGGATGGGGATGTAATGAGGATATTTTTTCCCACTGCTAATGGTAAGCTGATTCTGGATTTGAGCAGGAGGCAAATGAGCTGCATTGCACTTGGGAAATCATTTGGTATAATCCCAGACTACTTCCATTTTAAAAAGCTCATTTTAGTTATTCAGTATTCGTGTGATGCTATTTAACTGTGCTCTCTAACATGAACTAGGCCTTCACTCCTGCACAGTAATCTTTTTATTCACCTCTGTGTAACTTCCTATCTCACTTTTCCTAGCAGTCATTTTAAACCTCCTTTCTTCACAAACTCTAAACTTCACTAACGACACCTATTTCTCTTTGCAGATGACATTCCTTCCTTCTTTGCCAGGGAAGTCAAATTCATCCACCTTAAAATCCCTCATTTTCCTTTCTCTTCATCAAAATATGTATCCTGACCCATCCTGTTTTCTTATTCTTAACTCAGTGGAAAGGAACCTTCTCCTTGACAAAGTTGACCTTTCCACTTAGAACCTTGACTCATCTTGACTCATACATTCCTATTTTCTCTGGGATCTCTGGGATCTCTGGGATCT